CAAAATTCTATTAATAAAATAAAATTTTCAGTATTAAAAAAACAAACTTTACTAGTTCTTGAAGTGTTTTTATTTAGAAAAAACGATATTAAGAATTTGGAGTATTATTAAGATATTGTAGTTTTTAACAAAAAACAAAGATATTGGAGTATTATTATTGAGGAAAAAATCGTTACTAGTTATTGTAGTCGTATGAAATTTATGTGTAATTACTGTATGAATGTATATGGCATAACTTTATTATTTTTTATTATAAAACAAGAAATGCTATTACATCAAAGATGATGAACATTTGGTATATTTTGAATAATGAATGTTATATCAAATCTTTGAAATTCCTTAGAACTGTTGTCATTTATATTAGATAAACGTTGGTTTTATTGGTTACAAAACTAAAAGTTTCTGAAAATGGAAATATAGATCGTATAGGTATAAGGTATGATCATAATTTTGGTGGTAGGGGAATTGGGGAACTGTAGATATTTTCACTTTAGAGTTACAGAAGACAGAAAATACATTTAAAATAATAATTTTACTGAGAGTGAATTAAATAGTGATCAGACATTTATCTTCCAGAAACTGACTTACGTAATTTATTTCTTTTGTTTCTTTGAAGTGACTCAAATCCGTAAAAGTAAAAGGTCGTACACACAAGCATATATATGTGGAATTTAATTTTGTCTATTTTAATAATACTATACAAGGAAAAAATAATTTCATTCGAAAAAAGAATAAGTCCTTCAACATGATGATGTTATGGGTATCTAGTATCTACGGCTCTGTATTTATGTGTACCACTGTACCTAGTGTACCAATGTACCTACTGAGCATATATATATATATATATATTGGTAAATTCATTTATATATATCTTAAAATGTAACTAAATAGCTTACACAAATTTTGTAGTATAATATATATTTCCAATCAAGTTGTGATTATCCTAGATTGGTTGAGAGTTTTAAGTCTGATGAATAAAAAAATATAGGGAAAAGGATTTATACCTATACAAAATGGTTAAAGAAATTTTAGAACTATATAAATTATTCCAATTTTTAAGAATTTGGACAATCAGTTTAATTTGATTTAGAAATTACAGTTGTTAAGATCAAAATTTAAACGAGGTTGATTTTTTTTTTTTAGAAATCTTATTTCCTTTGTAACATCAAATTCAGGATCCTCTCATCGATTAACGTTTTGTCCAAAACACATCAAAATCAATTACAACCGGTTCATAACCTACAAATTCATATAACTAAAATATTATATCAGTACATTCATTATATTATATTAGTTTATATAGCTATAAATAATTTTAATTACAAATTGTGTCATTTTTCAAAATTTCTGGTTCCTTTCATACTAGTTTAGTTGGGTTAAGAGCACAACAAGAATATAGTGTGACACTGATTATTGAGTTCACGAAAACAAGTTATGTCTTTAATGCGAATTAAACACATTTTGTTAGAAATCTGTCTTAACCAGTTATATTAGTTTAACAGAAAGTGAGATAATTCAAGACCAATAGTTACGGCACCATCCGGACATATTACGATGTCAAGATAGAAAAAGGAAAAAACCAAACAGAAGTAAACAATAATAGGCTCCGTAACGCGACAAAAAGAAATCATTATAACCAGTTTTAAATAGATATATTGTCCTCCCGTAAATTTATTGGTACCCAAAGTTAAAAAAAAAGCCGAATCCTAATGGTTCAAAATACATTACGAAGAGAGCGACATAATCAAGACTGTTAAATATGTATATATGAGATCTTTCAAAACAGCTAAAAAAAAAAAAGAGACAAAGCAAAGTATAAAATTCCTTCTCTTTTCTTTTTCCTTTTACCTTTTTAGAAATCCACCAGAACTTAGTAGGACTCATTTGGTGAATTTTGCGATTAACTTGTCGACGTGGATGATGATATCGTCAATGCGCGGTCGAACCGCAGCCTGCGGTTGGAGCATCCAAGTCACGAACTGGTGGAGAGCTTCAGGGTAAGAAGCCTTTGGTCCAGCATTTGGCCATTTTATCTGAGCGTTCACGATTGCAAGCTGAAGACTTCCACCAGATTCTCCAAGTGCATATTCAAATGGAGACACACCGTACCTGCACAAGAACACAAAATGATTATCCACAAATGCTCTCTCTTCAATCAACTAAGTACATGACTTGTTTAATCATAAAAGGATGATAACTGTAATTACATTATTGCGTATAATGTGCAGCCTAGTGACCAGATATCTGTTCTCTCATCGATATCTGCATGGCTTGGGCAATCCCAGAGCTCGGGAGCTCGAAACGGTGCTGAACAATGTTCAGATGTCCATTCCTACAAAAATCAAGAGAACATGAAGAATTTACAAAGACGATTTTTTTTTGAGAAATATGTACTAGCATAACAGGTTCATGATCAACTAGAAATGGAACAATATGGAGTAGCGGTATGAACAAGGGATGGGTATGGAACCTGTAACTGTAAGGCCTCTTGACGGGAGCGGATTTGCTTCCGTGATGGACGAGCACTCCCAAAATCCATCAATATCGCAACAGGAGGCTGTCCTTTTCTACGTGTTAAAAGCACGTTTCCAGGTTTGACATCGTTGTGAGCATATGGTGGCTCCAGAGAGTGCATGTGTTTGAGTCCATCACAAAGCTGCACTCGAAGAAGAAATGTTTGGCAATCAAAAGACTTGCGATTTATTACGAATCATACAATAAATCATATGAGAGTTTCAGAAAACCAAAGTTAAAAAATAACAAGCAGGTAACAGAAATCGAAGATTGATTTTGTATGTTACCTGACGAAATATATGCAAAACATCAGTTGTTGAGAATGTCTCCTTTTTAGCCTTCATCGATGTGGCATTATCTAGCAAGGTCCCATCCAAGTGAACTGGAAATAGCAAGAAGGCCTCGTGTTTCCAAGCTCCCTCTTGGCCGTCCTAACCAATCAAAAGAAACACACTTTCTAATTACATGAGAGAACTACAGAAACAAATAGCGAAATCTACTACAAGCATCAACCAATGAAAGTTTCAGAACAGAGCTTATCTACCTTGACAGAAATAATGGCGTGATCAAGGAGCGGAAGCAAATTAGGGTGGTTGAACAATGATGAAACACGGATCTCCTCCCGCACCAATTCCAATTGCTCTTTGTTCTGAATCAGAACTTTCTTCATAGCATAAGTTCCATCGGCTACAAGGACATCACGAATTTAAAATTTTCAAGGTATGTCATGGGACAAAACATGAAAGAAGTTTAAAAAAACAAGACAGCGCAACAAGGCCAATGAACAAATGACAAACCAAGCTCAAGAATACCATAATTTCAGATGCACAGTTGATCAAACAGCTATACAAGACTAAAAATTAGTTGATTCAAAGTCAAACCATATGAAATACGATTCAGTGTGATCAATATGTTTAGCCTAACATCCCAATTCAACTAGATGCTAGCTCGATTAAGTCGTCAGCAAGAACTTATCAAGATATCCCCGGGACAAATTATTCATCTTCAGTGTCGATGACAAACGAAGCTCAAGAACACCAAAGTTTTAGATACATCGCGGATCAAACAATTACACACAATCGAAATTGCTTGGCCTACAGTCAATCCATATGGAACAAGATTGGCAGATTTCGAGCTGAAAACAAACATAATATTCCTACATTGATAAAGGTCGATTCCTGAAACAATTTCTCAAAGTCCGAGTTGATACAAACACTCTAGATTCATACCCTACTGCCTCATCTCAACATCACAAGCGGATGGCAGACATAAACGAAAACGAAAACAAAATCCAATTAGAAACAGCAGATCAGATTCAATCGAGAGAAGGCAGATCAAGGACAACCAAATCAGCAATCACGACCGGGAAATCAAGAGAAATTAACAATACTAACCGGAGAGATGAGCTGGATCCTTGACTTTCTTCGCCAGACCGCCACCGGATGAGGCGGAGGAAGCGTCGGCGACAATCTCCTTGACCAAAAAGACGAATGCGAAACCGCCTTCGCCGAGCTGCCTCACGATCCTGAACCGATTTTCATTGATCCACACGTCGCCTCCACCGTTCACGGCGTCGTAAAGAGCGTTCAAACCCGAAAACGAACAGCCCATGCTCACAAAATTCAAAGATCCTTCCTCTATTGACCAACGGATCGATGAAATCTTTCGAACTGAAGATCACAAAATTCAAAGATCCTTCAGATTCGCATTGTCCAGATCTCGAATATTTCCTCGTCTCGCGTTATTCTTGTGTGTTTTTATTATATGGAAGTGAAGAGATTTAGAGTTGAAGCATTCATGTCAGCTATACGAGACGGACACAGCGTTCCGTGTTTTCACTAATTTGTTAATTAAAATAATCAATTGGCGTTGCTAATTGGCTTTGGGTAAAAAACCATTACGCAAATATTTTCTACAAAATATTTTAGATTTAACCAGAAATTTAGTCGTACCAAAAGACAAATCAGCGCCCCTTTTTTTGGTGTTTGGCTCCAAAAAGCGCAAATCATCAGTTTGCTACAATCATTTTGCAATTACACAACAAAATCCATGGAGTATGAACTAATAGAACAAACTAATTAAGAATTTGTTTCATCTAATTAAAAACATTATTAAAAAAAAAGCAAATCTATTTTTTTAATCATCGCACTTGTATAACTCACAGAAGAAAGCTCTAACTGTTTTTTACACAAACAAATTCTCTTGTTTTGCTATTACGCAAGAATCATTTGATCTGTAAAAACCGACAAATGTGGTTTAATAACATCGTACCAGGTTCGAGTAAACCGACCAGAATTTAGGACCAATACATTCAGAATTTCATAGTCGACGATACAGGCAGGATCCCATTAACGTCTGGAACGATCGTGCGTTTCTCGTTCGCTCGGGCTCATGAATCAAATCTCTATAGTATTAAAAAAAAAAAAAACTAACGGCCATGATCTATAAAACCCCCGAACGGCAAGATCTTCAATCCCACGGCGGCATTAATGGCCGTTGTCGGCGAGGGAAATAGGCTCCGCCGGCTGCTGTTGCGTAATACAATGTATGTTTCCTCCAGCTAGAACGATCTCTCTTGCATTCTCGATTCCCACAACCTTCCAAAATCAAACTAAAAAATGATTAATTCTTACTCACTTTCTTTATTTGGTTTATATGAATCAGAGATTGTTAAATACCGAGTGATGAGGATATGTCTCTGAGAGGACACGAATCGCTTCTTCATCGCGTTTTGCGTCACCGAATTGCGGCGCGATTATTCCTCCATTAGCTATATAGAAATTCACATACGACGCTGCGAGTCTTGTCCCTGCAAGCCTTGGTTTAGCTTCACCTTCCTGCAACATTGTCATCCACATTATATCAACTCGATTAAAAAAACAGCTCAAAGTTTGAGTTTTTTGTTTGTTTCCAGTTAGAATTCGTTGCCTGAATGATTCCAGAAGCTTCTTCTTCGGTCATATAAAGTGGTCCAGGGACGTGAAGTTTGATGACTTGAATCTTCCTGCCACGAGCATCGATGGAGTTTGATAAAACCGAAAGGGCTTCAACGGATCTTTCGTATTGGGGATCGGTTTCATCGTCTGTCCAAGACAATAGCACAACTCCTGGTTTAGCAAAGCAGCACATGTTATCAATGTGGCCGTTTGTGTCATCATCACCTGAAAATCGATATACCAAAGCAAATTTGTATAAGAATGATAAATTTCCTATAGAATTAGTATGGAGCCATGTAGATTATGGTAGATAAGTGCAGTTACCGTAGAGGCCCCGAGGAAGCCAGATAAATGTTTTGACTCCGAGATACTTTTTGAGTTCTTCCTCTATTTGCTCTTTACTCAGATGAGGGTTCCGGTTTTTGTTCAAGAGACATTCTTCTGTGACAAGGCAGGTTCCTGAAAGAATATAGCAACACCAAGCGGAATAAGCAAAGCAAACAAAGGACTTGTGAACAATAATAAACTTCAAAACAGTCTGGTTTTCTCGTTATTCCAGTTTTTGAAGTTGCTATGAAATTAAGTGCAAACCTTCCCCGTCGACATGGATGCTGCCTCCTTCAAGAATCATCGAATGTTGAAATCTTGGAATTCGCTCAACAGCGAGAATCTGAAGGATAGGTGAAGAAAAGAGCAAATCAATTTTTGAAACATTCCACTGAGAGTAATATGAATACCAATTATATACGAATTTGTTTATTTCACGAAAGGTAACCTTCTTTGAAACTAGAAGGTCATCACTCCAATCATTGTAACAACCTTCATCAGCTCCTGCCATTGGCAAAGTCCAAAGTGTGTCAAGCAGTTACTAGATATGGCTAGAGATTGGAGAAAGGTTTTCCACAAACCCTTACCTCCCCAGGCATTGAAATTCCAGTCGATTCCAGCAACGTTCCGGTTAAAAGAACTGAGCTTAGATGGTTTTTTCCGCACAACGAACTGTGAAAAAGGAAAGCGAGAAATAAACAAGTCCCAGTTAGATAAAAAGACGTTAGCAAGAGCATTCATAGATGGAGAAAACGGAGAAGAAGCTAAAGAACTCACAGTTGGTCCAGAGTCACGGAACCAAGAATCATTCATGCTCATCTCAACAACTCTTATATCCTCTGGAAGCTGTTTCCTTGCGTTTTCCCACTAAAGCACATTCATTGGGTACATTTGTTTATATAAACTCGAACATGTTTATAGTATATTCCCGTTATGATTCTACACAACATACCTGTGCCGAGCTTGCACAGACTGTCACAGGCTCGAACTTTGAGATCGCCTTTGCAACATCTGCAAACACTCGTTGTGCAGGTAAAGCATTGTGCCGCCAGTTATCCTCTCGCTCCTGCAGACATTGATGTCAGAACAAAACCCAGAATCCCAAAAAATCACAAATCGGTCACTGTTTGATTCATGTAAACAGCAGTCACACGAATCTAACATAATCAAATGGTAAGATATGTTTCTGTATTATCCAAGATCAGGATGGGTAAAAGACCATGGATAAAGCTTTAACTGAGAATGCTATAAATTCTGCTTTGTTAGCAGAATCTGTAGCAAAGGTATTGCTTGTACATTGATTTCAGTGCTACAGATCTCAACTCATAATATATCTATGTGGTAACTTGAATTGGAGAATTTCACAATCATTCTTAAGAAGCTAAACCTAGAGAATAATCAAAAGCCATCGGAACGAACCAAACAAACGCAGGGCAATAAATCGAACATAGAACAATTATGAGCGTGATATACAGAAAGGAAAAAAAAAAAACAAAAACAAGATATGAAATCGAAGGTTGCGTGCGGAAGTTTGAGCAGCGAGATTCAGTCCTCGAGAATCGCTTTCGAAAACGTTTCTGGAATCAAGGAACAAAACATTCTCTACATATATAGAGAAAGGAGAAAGGAGAAAGAGAGGGAAAGAGAGATTTACAGGCCAGCCGATCCAAGTTTGGGCATGAGGTTCCCATTCCGCCGGCATATAGAAGCCGTGTTCCGCCGGCGATTCCCGTGCCTCCTCCTCCATCCTCGAATAATATCTCTCTCTGTGTGTGAGAGAGAGAAGTGGAGCAAGTCAAATGTTTGTAACTTGAAATAAATCATCTTGAATCGTAGTAATAATTTTCTCAGGAGACCCACATAATTATGTTTTCTTACAGATTGGACCCCATTACTATTCAGCTGCTAACATTCTAAATTCCCGACCCCACATCTCTCCCTCTATCTAGTGGTGTGGGAATCAGAATCCAGAACATAGTAGGGGCAACAGGAATCGGAATCTTAATCACAGTAGGCGAATCAGGACAAAAGTTGTTAAGAGATATTTTCTTTTTCTGTTTTTACATTTCAAAACCGTATATTTAATAATATCAAAAAACATTTGGTGCCGACAAAAGAAAATGAGAAAAAGAAAGTGATTCAACGAACTTCCAACTAAACAATTCCCAACATACATTCAATACAAAAATCTAGGTTATAAATTTTCGTTTTAACTAAAATAAGGCTACTAATAAGAATAAACACCTTTTGGATGAAACTTATACACAAGGATTGATTTTTCCATACAATAAGCTTGAAGAGTTCAACATAAACGCAATTAAATAGTGCCCATTAACCCAGTTATGATGCTAAAATACAATCGCTACAAAAGTAAAACTATAAAACGTCGACAAAAAGGATCAAATGTGCAAAGCAACTTGCAGGCCACAAAATCTCATCATATTCATTAACCAAAACCGCCAAGGCACAACTTAATTCTAGTTTCTAATCAGAAGATTACAGAAGATGAAAGCTCTTTGATATCGTCAGCGACTTGCTCGTAGTCAGTCTTCAACTTTTCAAGATCTTCTGCACTTAGCTCTCCCTTTGCCGGTTTAAGCATGACCAAGACACAGCAAGTTGGTCGTTTGGTTGCCCCAGCTTGCGCAAGATCCTGCAATTACAACCAACCGTCTTAGACCCGACACCAAATCACAACAAGAGAGACTAGTATCAAGGAAGAACATTATAGCTTACTTCTTTGGATGGAACGTATACATAAGGAACACCAGCTTCCTCACACAAGATGGGAAGGTGAGTAATCACATCGATGGGAGATATGTTTCCAGCTATAACACATACTCTGCACAACAACAATCATTCATTAGATCACAAACTCTAGGCATAATAAAGGTACTAGTCTCTCCGCACAATTACACAAGAGAATGTGGGTTTAAACCAGGCCCGCAAGTCAAAGAACCGACTAGGCGCTCAAAGAGAGCACAGACATTTTAAACCCATGATTTAGTTTCCGTGCACAGTACCATGCTACATTCATTTTTGTTTAATCCAGAGCATCGGCTTAATTGTACACGGATTTCACATCAAATGGCAAATTGCTAAACAGCAGTCACAAATTTCAAAACATAATTATTAATAGCAAAAACATAGAATGTAGATCTCAACCAGGCCCTCTAATCAAAGAAACTCAAAGAGGGCAGACATATCAATCCGCTCTAGCTCAGTTTTCGTGCACAGTACCATGCTACATTCATTATGATTAATCCAGAGCATCGGCTTAATTGTACACGACTTTACACTAACAAATTAAAACTTAAGCAGGCGCAAAACAAGAGAGCAAATTCAAGAATATCAACCAAGAATTTCAACTAACTAATGATTTTAGATACTAAACAAAGAATGTGGATCTAAACCAGGCCCTCTCATCACAGAATTCAGAGATGGCAGACATGTCGATCCGCTTAAGCTTAGTTTCCGTGCACAGTACCATGCTACCTTCATTCTTATCCAGAGCATCGGCTTATTTGTACACGGATTTGACAATATATAATAGATGCAACTACAGTATATTCCCAGACATATATACTAATGATGATCAACAAACAACAAAGACAATAACAGAGAATGTGGATCTAAACCAGGCCGTCTCATCAAATAAGCTCAGAGATGGCAGACATGTCGATCCATAGTTCACTTTTCGTGCACAGTACCATGCTACATTCATTATAATTAATCCAGAGCATCGGCTTAATTGTACACGGTTTTCACAGAAATTAAACAAATAGCAACACAAACAATCACAGGTAACAATCACAGGTAATATTCGAGGAAAACACTAACCCTTTCTGGCCACGTCTTATGCTCTTAACTACTTCCTTTACACCTCTCTTCAAGCATTTCTTTCCAGCAGCTGACAAAAATTACAGAATAATACTATCAGAGGAATATTTTTTACAAACAACAAACGATATCAAGTCTCTGTCAGAACAGATTTGTACCTTTTTGAATGAGTTTGAATGTCCTCTTCTGGAGCTTTTTTCCGGCAAGAGGTTTAGCGATAGGAGCAAGAGTTATGACCCTCTTCTTCTCCTTTTGAATCGACTTCTCTGCTTCGGTATCGCTTCCCATATTTTTAGCTAGCTCAAGTAAAAATGGCGGAAAGAGTGGCGGCAACGAAGTAGGGTTTATGAGTTATTGCTCCCAGACAATGCGATGTTAGGGTTTTATAGAAGTGATTGACCCAAAAAAATGTGGAAAACCCTAAGTCCATATGGGCTTGTGAAGTATGTAATCTGATTATATATAACAGGCCGAAGTCTGTGGGCTACAAAACATCTTCGAATAATCACTTTTTTGTTCTGTACTTTGACACTAATTAGAGAAGTAGGCCTAAAACCAAATTGTAGAATTTCACCTAGGCAGCATATACAAGTTTGGGTAATCGAAAAATCCTGTACCGTTTCAATTCAATAATATCAGTGATTAGTGAAATTTGTTTGTTATCTATCTATACTAAATAAAATGAACTATTTGAGGCTTCTTAAGCTATCCACCTCAGCTTTTCAAACTACTCTAAAAATATGATACATCAGCAAAAAATAATAATACAAATTCCCACTTTAGATTTTTTTGAAATACACATAAAATAAATAAATAGAACCAAAATTAATATAGTTAAATACAAGAGTAAATAAAAATAAAATATTATTTTTTGAATCAATAAAATAAATATTATTTAAATCTATAGCATCAATATATATTCTTTTGTTTGTAATATAACAAATTAACAATAATGAAAATTCTCACTTTAGATTTTTTTGAAATACACATAAAATAAATAAATAGAACCATTAAATTAATATAGTTATTAGCAAAAACTAAATAAAACTATATATCATTTTAATCAGTAAAATAAATATCATTTAAATCTGTAGCATTAATATATACTCATTTTTGTCACTAAAATTAATATAGTTACGAACAAAAGTAAATAAAATTAAAATATTATTTTTTGAATCAGTAAAATAAACATCATTTAAATTTATAGCATCAATATATACTTCTTTTGTTTGTAATATAACAATAATAAAAAATTTTACTTTATATCTTTTGAAATACACATAAAATAAATAAATAGAACCACTAAGTTAATATAGTTATTAGGAATAAGTAAATAAAACTAAATATCATTTTCGAAATCAGTAAAATAAATATCATTTAAATCTGTAGCATTAATATATACTCCTTTTGTAATATAGTGAATATATTGGACAAGAAATTGCTCTAAAAAATTTAAATAATAGTTAATAGAAACAAGATTATAAAATAAATATTTCTTTCTAAATAAAAATTTAAAACATTTACAAATTATAAAAATCTAAAACATTCACCTTTTAGAAACATAAAGATTAAACATCATAGCACGTTAGATTTATGACAACCAACAAGACAACATAAATTATAGGAAGCTTTTCAAAGCATCTATCTATATGAAGATTTCGATCATCGTTACTATTTACATTGCAGAAAATGATAGACAAAAGAAGAATTTCATGCACTGATATTTATTCAATGTGTGTCTTAGTTGGCTTAAGGTAATCAAGTTACTACAAGCGATACATGTCAGCGCATGAGTTAAACAGTTTATAAAAAAAAATTAAGTTTTAGATGACAGTTAATTTTTATATATATCAAGTTAGTAAATTTTTAAATTAAATAATAATATATTTTTGAAAAAATAACATACACATTTTTATGTAGAAGAAAATGTCTAAAAAAATCTCTAATTATCCACATCAACAAAATTCCTTATAAACCCAACTTGAATAAAAAATTAATATGGTTTTTTTACTGGGTTAAGAAACTCCTTTAAAAATAATACAATATATATTATTAGTTTAATTATAAAGGCTCATCAAAATATATATGTGTAGTTTAAGAAAAAATGTTTAAGTTAAATTACAAGCAAATTTTTTTACATCTTTTGAGTTTTGAGAAACTCAACATACTTTATTTAACATAATGAGTTAGTATGAAATTGTATTTTATATATGTATTACTTGCCTTATTCATCTATATTTTTTATAGTTTACGTATACTTCATAGACCAAATCAAAATTGCATTTTATCAATATGATTGTGATTTTTTATACTATGTAAATATTGTTTTTATTTATATGAATCATAGTTATTTTATAGATTTATAAGAGATTAGAATATTGAGTGTTGTTTGTATTTGAGATTGCTAATTAAATAAAAACACTACACGAACACAGTTGAAATAAAAATAAGAAAACTAAATTAATTGGAACAATAATAATCAAATTTAGTCAAAACAAAAAATAATTTTAATAATATTTTGAAAGTTAGTAGTGAATAACAGTGAGTTTATATACAAATATTAAGTTTTAGATTAACAGTTAATTTTAGCATATATCAAGCAGGTAATTCTTAAAATTATATCATGATACATTTTTTGAATACATTAAAATATTTTTGATGTATAATCATATCAAAACAATTTTAAAAATTAAATATTATATTTAAAATATTAACTTAAAGTGAAAATAATTTAACTTAGATAATAATCAAATATCTATATAAAAACAATCTGCGCGTAGCGCGGAAACATCCCTAGTAGGACTGAAAGGAATATTTGATCTGCGTGGAAGCCATCATTAGCTATCACCAGTTTTTTAGGCATTTAGTTTAAAAAAGACAAAAGAATACTATGTTCAAAAAGAAACAACCAGAATCGGTAAATGAGTAATGATTTGCTGCTTATCCCGTTTTTGCAAATACACCAAGGAACATAAACATTGGTTTGTATTCAAATTCCAAAAATTGGTATGATGAGCTCTTTAGTGCGGGATTCTGGAAAAGACTTTTAACAACTTCATCATTCTCACCAAGTAGATCCACCACGGGGAAAAGCATGGCATGTCAAGACTAAGCAGGGAGATTCTATTACCAAACCGTGATTATAAGTGTTTTAGCTTACTTGAGGAAAGTACAAGCAGCAAACAAAAACCCATAAGCGAACATTGATGTTAGGAGCTCAAGCGTCCATGTCGGGTGAATAAGCAAAGAAGGAATCATGGGGATGAATATCGACCCGCAGATCCACCCGGTCGCTAGTGCTCCAATTCTGCATATCACCACCGTCAAAGAAACAAAATCAGACGACAACAAAAATAAAATAAAAAGCTTTCATCTTTAGACTTTAGCTTATTCGATATATTATTTACAACCAAATTTTACCCGATTATGCAAGATCTTCCCAAGCTCTTTGTCTTGTCGTTTAAGAAATATATAGATGCAGCCAAAGATAGCGCTACCTGAAAACACAAAACACCATTGTAGGAAATGTCGATAGATGTGAATAGAAGAGTAAGAGAGAAACAGGAGGTCTTCTATTTATGGGCTTAAGCCTTAAGCTCGTTCGCTTCACTCTTTTAAATCCTCAATGCGGTTTCATACGCTATTTACTAAGCCTCTTTGTTCATGATAGGCTCAGAGAAACCCCAAGAACAAACCAAAGAGTAGACTTCTAGCGCAAAGACCAACATTTTTTTTTGTAAAAAACGGTTCTATTAAGTTTTACTAATCACATCATCAATGGATTGAATGCAAAGAGTAACACATCCTATGTTAAGTAGCAGACTATATGTTATATTGGTTTTTAATGCATTTAAAGTAACAAACCTGAAATGCAGGGCCACCTTCAGCTGAGTTCATGATACTCCAACCGCCCATGAACGCAAAGAGGAACAGTCTCTTCAATACAATGTCCATTGGAGGCATTTCCACAAAGCTAAGGAGAGTTTTGAGCCAAGGAGGAGATTCCTCGACTTTCTTCTTCAGCCGCGTCTTTAGATTGATTTTAGTCTTCTTCCTTCTCACAAAGCTCGACGTGAGCAGTTTCTCAAAGGCGGTTTCTATCGACTCTTCGCTTCTCTCGTGTCCAGAATACTGCTGCAACAGAAAGTTACGAGATGCCCAGATTTCTTCCTCGGAAGCATATTGACTGATTCCTAAACGCTTGTAAGGATCCCAAACTCTTGTTCGTGGGAATGTGGCAATGTTGCCTACAAAGAGACGAAGATGAAATTACGATGACGACGACTATAACTGAAAGAGTGAATCTGATGAAACACACAGAGGGCGATTAACAAGTTACCTTCATAAGGAGAATCAACGGCACATCTAGGGCTTTTGAAGCTTCTCGAAACATTTCGAAACGTTAGGTAGGAGTTCTTATAATTCCCGTCAAGACGGCTGCAACCAAAACAACAAGGCGAAAAAGATCCCTTAAAATTCAATACCGCCTACGAAAAACCCTAAGATCCAAGATTACTTCCGCCATGTACAATTACAAAGTGATAAAAACGCCAAAGTGAAGCACAGAAGAAGCGAGAGAGAGATGTATTAGTATATTACAGCTTTGCCGGGGAGAACAACCGAGAAGAAACTACAGTGCTTGAGAGAAGAAGCGACGAAGACATGGCTTCTCCGTCGGTCAAGCAGACGCTGATTGCTTGATTTCAATTAGCTCCGATGATCCATGGCTGCGTTTTGCGTTATCTGAAAAAAAGACGGTGGTTGTTGATGCTAACTTGCGCCGCCTCGTGTATCTGATTTGTAATTTAATCATAGTTTACATTTCACTCCCTATATTTTAAAATATATTTGAAACATCACCCTCACTTTGTTTAACGAAAATATTGGATTTGACTGATATGAAAAGATGATTAATGGAATAAACATAGCAGGCGGATGATACAGCAGTAGTAAAAAAAACTTTTGCAACAATGGTTACAAAATACTAAAAAGCAAATAAATGTTATAATAGATTAATGGCATATATCATTATGCAGCATAACCGGTTTCAAAACCAGTTACAATCATCTGAATGTTCGTCGTGTTTACATTCTGAGGTACAAACCAATTACTGGAAAAACAGTAAAAAGCGTGGCGGCGGTAACTCCTTTTTAGAGTGAACCTGATTCTTGCTGATGAACATTTTAACACCAACTTATCTTCAATGCTTGTGTAAAAAGAACTAGTGTCGTCGCCAATCCAATCATCGCTACAGTTGTGAATCGATGAATGAACAAAAGGGAGAGAGAAAGTTAAGACTTAGATGCCAAACACAAGAGCTCTCGAAATCCTTTCTAGTAACGGTGAGGTTCAAATGTGTAAACTTGCAAGCATTCATCACATTATTAAACAAAGAGATTACATCAAACATGTTCCAAGGGAACAAAGCTGCAAGACAATAGTCGTTAGTGAAAAGCAATAAACAAATTAGCAGATTTAATTGCATAAACTAAACCGGAGAATCCAACACGTTTTCTACATATAGAATGTCTACAATGAAAGCTAGTCTTTTTGATACATGAAACCAAACCAAAGACAACATTATCAGGATCAGACCAAGAAAGAAACCTTGTAATTCTCAAGTCCTTAACAAAAATCAATCCTTTCTGGGAAACTCAAAACGGATTCAAAAGTGATGATTGATGAAGAGGCAAACGCTGGATGCAGAGGTTTATCGATCTGTTCATGCTTTTTTTTTATTTCTTTCAAACAAAGAGAAAAAAAAATCCCAGGAAGAGATCGATGAACCGCTGCCTCCAGCGACTATAACTCTTTTTATTTACAATTTCCTCCATTAAAATGAAATGGAAAAAAAAAAGAAAAAGGCGAAAGAAAGTTTCCGAATTGGAGCAAACAATTAAATCTCAGATCTGAAAAGAAAACAATGGTCAAAATGAGCACCAGAAGTAGTAATTAGCTGGATCTTTATTGCCTCATTAGTCAAGACAAACGCAAGTGGACCAAAACATAATCTATACAAAAATTTAAACACACATGCATCTGCAGATGAACTGGGACAAAGAGGATTCTAAGATTTGCAGTTAGATGTGATTAATAATATATGAATTCACACCAAAATAAAAAAGACAGAGTGATGGAGTTTGAACCAGTCAACCAGAATCTGATGAGATACCATTTTTGATTTTGTGATTTGTCTATTGGCGTACATCTTCTCCTCCCCCTCTCTCTCTCTCTCTCTCTCTTTCTCTCCTAGTTACATTATGGATCAGCTTTTATTTTTAGTAACAGAAGAACCAATTTATTAGTAACAGAAATATTTTTTGTTTACCTGGGTGATCCGGATCACCAGGGTCAAATACAAAAAACTATTTTGACCATACAAAAAATGTATATAAATTGGAATCCGTAATTAAAGAAAAACTATTTCAAATGTACGTCTAATAAAAATTTGAACAAGGACTATCATCAATACGTCTGAGAATGAACAAAGTTCGACTTGTTTCAAGAATCATGCCCTGAACAACCCATTAGATTTAGATGCCCTGAAGCCTGATCTCATTCATATAAACGACTTACACAAGATACAAAATCACGACGTTGAAATATATTAACACCACTCTAAAATGTTTTAGGAATGATGGCTATATTAATGTACCGTACATGGCATTGCATGAAAACAAAAAAACAACAAGTATATGGAACTATCCAATCCAACTTCTGAAGTTACTATCCACATCAACGAAAATGGATAAGTTCCAAGCTCCCAAGTTGTTAACCGGATGGTTCTTTAAAATCAAAACAGACAAGGTAAAACGGGTCGGGTCGGATATGCATAAACTTGGATCAGGCTGAGCCTATATATTAAAAACTTCTGTATAAAGGCCCATCTCATAGGTGGTCTTAAACCAAAAGAAATAGACTTACGCGCCGTCAATCAGTTGGGGGAAAGAGTGACGCTCACGCGCTTATTTTTGGTTTTTCTGTTTTGCCCTAATCGACTTCTGCGTAAGAGAAAGGCGAAACGAAGAGAGAAAACCCGCCGATAAGGTTCCGTACAATCCGTCCGACTTCCCATCTCCGTTCCCACCGCGACTCGTTCTCGACATTCGTTACTCTGCCGGATCTCCGTCGTAATTCCGCCTCCGGTTCGATCTGTGTTAAACTAGGTCAGTCGGGTACTCCTATCTCAGTTTTCTCTTTCTTCTTCATCTTACAACCTCGCCGTCTAGATACTTCGTGTACGCACACAGGTTCAAGTAATTTGCCGTTAAACCTGAATTCCGTTTCGAATTTCGATTCTGTAGAGTTAAAACGATGGATCCGATGGATATAGTTGGAAAATCCAAGGAAGATGCTTCGCTTCCAAAAGGTTCGGCTTCTTATCCTCCTTTCGATCTATCTGTCCATTATTATGTTTTCAAAGCTATCCTTTATCGGTGAACGCTTGTTATTGCATTTAAGGATTAATTGGTCGGTAAATTGAATAAATTTTGTAAACCTAGCTCTATCCATGGCTTCTGGTTACTCAATCCATTGGTAAAATAAACTTCTTTAGGATAATGGAATCAGAGACAATGTGGCTGCATCAGTAATTCTTACAAATATGTTTGTTTATTGTAAATTTCAGCTACCATGACTAAAATTATAAAGGAGATGTTACCCGCTGATGTTCGCGTTGCTAGAGATGCTCAAGATCTTCTGATCGAGTGTTGTGTAGGTAAGATCAAGTTTTTTTAAATTTATTTGTTTTATCAACAGCCTTTAATCTTGCAGTTTCCTTCTAACGTTTGGTCACATTGTCGCAGAGTTCATAAATCTTATATCCTCAGAGTCTAATGAAGTCTGTAACAAAGAGGAGAAACGAACAATCGCCCCTGAGCATGTACTCAAAGCACTACAGGTTCGGTTTTACATCCACATTTAGTTATGTTTTTTTTTGTCCATAGTCGTGGGTTTTATTTACTCAAAGCACTACAGGTTCGGTTTTACATCCACATTTAGTTATGTTTTTTTTTGTCCATAGTCGTGGGTTTTATTTACTCAAAGCACTACAGGTTCGGTTTTACATCCACATTTAGTTATGTTTTTTTTTGTCCATAGTCGTGGGTTTTATTCATGTGACTTGTACATGAAACAGGTTCTTGGCTTTGGGGAATACGTTGAAGAAGTCTACGCCGCTTATGAGCAACATAAATATGAAACAATGGTAAAAATCCATTACACCCATTCCCTTGAATGTATTAGACCTGATTTTTTTTTTGTAATCTAATCTCAGTTTTCCTTGGTTTTGCAAATCATGCAGCAAGATTCACAGAGAAGTGTGAAGATGAACAGCGGAGCAGAGATGACGGAAGAGGAAGCAGCAGCGGAACAACAGAGAATGTTTGCAGAAGCTCGAGCAAGAATGAATGGAGGTGCTTCAGTTCCTCAACCAGAGCCGCTAGAAACCCAACAACAGTCTAGTCTACAAAGCTAATAATCAAAGAATACCTTAAAGGAGGTGTTTCAGTTTTTTTTTTTAACATTATCCTTTTGACTTTTTCTTTTTCTAGCATTTCTCTGTAAAGTGCAAAATTCGTCTTCTTCTTGGTGTTGATATGCCCTTTACATTTTTAACTTAGATTTGTGTTTTTTTTTTTTTTTTTTTTGCTTTCTGAATCTAAAATCACTTGGTGATCAGATGTAATTAGCAAGCATTTTTATGTTTCTTCCTATTCCATGTGTTCATGACTTGATTGTGATAACTTCTTAATGGTAGATTCAGTTTCAAGTTAATTTCAAGATTGACCACCAAATCTCTTGTGTGAACGATCACCAATTATTTATTCAAAAAAATATTTTTTTTGTTGACAGCCAATACTTATTCGAAGCAAATACGTGTGAAGGCCAAGTGAAAAAAATGAGCCCGTCGGGCTATATATGTTAATTATGTTTTGGCCCCAAAAAGTAACTGTGTTTCTTAAGTTTGAAATGGAGATGCGGGGTATCGATCCCGGTACCTCTCGCATGCTAAGCGAGCGCTCTACCATCTGAGCTACATCCCCATTGTTGATAACATATTATATAGGAAGAAAATATCAATAGTGTTTTGTTGATGCAAAATCTTGCAAAGCTATAGGAAAGAGCTAAACAAAGACAAATCATGACTTTGAAAGATTCAGAATTTTGAAAATTTCATATATTCTTACAGAGAATAAGTTTTCGTTTTCCATGAGAAAATCTTAGTTTTATGCTGTTTTGAAATGGTCCTGCAGAACAATCTTCAGTGGTCTGAAGTAGTGTAACGAGGCTCTTTTTTTTTATTATTTCTGCTTCTTTAACAAAGCCTTCGAGTGGATGTGAGCGTTCGAGTTTTCAAACAACTCAAACTAACCCGATCTATTACAAGCAGTTAAACCGTAGAGCCAGAGGAGTTGGACCACTCTCGGATCTCTAATAAATTGTTTTGTTTAGTCGTTATGTAATTAATTTTGTTTAGGCAAAGAAGAATAATGAATTTAACTCTCTGCCCCTCGCCGACATTATACGGACTTTTTTTTGTCAAACATACAGACTTGGTTTTTGACTTTAAAAGCTGTTATTTTAATTATCCAGTAGCAGCAAGCTATTTATTTTCAAGTATATCATTGTTTTTTTGACCGAATCAGAATATCATATTTGTAACCTTTTTCTAAAGCATTCGTAATTCTATCATGAATTTTTTATATTGTGTAAATACATTATAAATAATTGTTTGCTGTTCAGTTCAATTAAGTAAATGTTTTTTTTTCTTTTCGGTAAAGCTTATTCTTAATAATGCAATAATATCGACCCGATTATGTTTTTCATCAAATTTTTAAGGTCATTAAATACAATTTGGTATAATTCCACCGCTGCGACGAGAGGGGAGCACAGAGATCTCTCGTTCGTTTTTCCCGGAAAATCTGGGAAATAGCAGAAAATTTCCATCGGATCCCTCTGAGAAAATTCGAATCCCTAGTCCACGAGTTTTTTTTTCACCTATCTTCGTCATTCCCTCTATTCGCTTTTTCTTCCCCCTTTTTTTTCTTCAGTCATCTCTCCCTCACCGTTTTCGATTTTTTTCCTACTTGATGATGAAATTCTGATCAGATCTAGCTTAGATTAGGTAGGATTATCCAGAGATTATGTTTATGGATCGAGAGAGAAGGCTTTCTTGTCGAAATGGGACTCCGGAATACAGCAACGGAAAATTCCGCGATGATAATGGTTACGGATTCTTAGATCGATCGGAAAATTGCCGCGAGAGGAGTCCTTCTAGATCGTCTCCCTCGAGGATCCTCCGGATCCCGTCTCCGACCTCGTCTCCTCCACCTTCCAGCTCCTCCCCGCCATTTCCCGGTTCCAGCTCTCCCGACCGTGGCTATATCGAGCACCGCGTCTCCAAGTTCGATACTCTCGCCGGCATTGCCATCAAATACGGCGTTGAGGTAAAATTCTACGTCTTCCGCTAAAGATCTCCGGCTTCTTTTCCCGATATATCGTTAAATTTGGCGATGGGATTAGGTTTGGTCTCGCTATTTTACAGCTCCAGAGTATATAACTTTGCCGAGGTTGTTGCGTAATACTGACATACAACGGTTTTTTAATTAGAGATAAAGGTAGGAATTGAATTAATGGTACTGCTAAAAGGTATTCATATTATTATTGTTTTTGGAAGTGACGCATGATGAAGAAGAACACATGAGGGGAAAGTTATGCTTTTTGATGATAGATTCTTCCAATTCGTTGTTATGAATTCCTTTCTCGAAATTTTCTCTACTTCAGGTTGCAGATGTCAAAAAGATGAATGGCCTTGTTACTGATCTTCAAATGTTTGCTCTCAAGTCTCTCCAGATCCCGTTACCTGGAAGGCATCCTCCTTCTCCATGTTTATCTAATGGCTCCTTAAACCATGGGTACTTATAATAATACTTTTATAAACTTGCAAATTACAGGCTTTGATATCCGAGGTAGCTTTTAAGTTCTAGTGTTGGATTCTTATTTCAGAGCAGATCCTGTTTTCTTCATGTCACTGCAAATCTAGAAATTCTACAGGAAACATCTTGAGCTGTTGCTTCCTACTTTAAAATCTGGTTCTGATTATTGAGACAAACAAGTTGAGCCTTGGCTGTGTTAAAGTGCAGCTGCATATTCACCATCATGTAATCCTCTTTTCATGGCGCTAATACATGGGATTTTGTTTGCAGAGAGGGATGTTCATGCCACGAACTGGAATCACCAAACCATAGCAGCAACAACGACGTGTTTGACTCATTCCAGTCTCTGAGATTGAAACCTTCGGAAAAGAAAGTTTCTCCAGCCATGTACTCACTGCAAGGTTATTATGGGCTAAAACCAGCAAACAGAACAGTTTCTGAAGGAGGATTCTTCGACATGGGCAACGACAAGATGGAAGCTTCTCATCATTTCCGGAGCAACGGAGATCATCAATATCTCAGACCTTTCCCATCCACAAACACTCCCTTAAACCATCACAGGAAATCAAGAAGCTTGGTCAATGCACTTCTCGAAGAGGTCAACCAATCACCCGATAACAATACCCATCAAGAGCCGGACTCCGATAAGTTTATAAGAAGACGCCAGAAATCTGAAGCCGACTTTACATCCCGGACTCCAGAACTTCTGCTGAAGGAAGAGAACAGTAGCAGCAATGGCGGGTTTTTGTCAATAGCCGGAAAAGGTTTAGCTTTGAGATCAAAAGCCTCAAGCAGAAATAATCTATCAGCAGAATCTGAGACCGGTAATTTCAATCCGGTACCAATCAACTTGATGGATACTCCGGTTCCAGACAGCTTCGGCAGTGTGAGGAAATCGTCGAGTGCATCGAGTCTACAAGATCCGGACGGTAACAGCAGCAACGGTTCATTGTCTCTATGGCCAACTTCTAAATGGAGCATAAACCCTGATTTGCTTACACCTGCGGCCATTACAAGCTCTATCTTTGATGGATTACCAAAGCCTTTAACAGGTCGGAGAAACAAAACCGCGATGGACTAAAAAAAGGTCAGTTTCTCGTTATTGAACTGTCCCATTCTTTTTTTGAAACTATACAAATCAAAAGCAGAAGAAGCTATTTAGGCTTGATGCGGAGTAAATAGAAGTAAAGAGATTAGAGAAAATTTGAAGGGAGTAAGAACACTTCCAAATTGAAAACTGTGAAGAAGGAAGAAAGCTTCTAATAGTGATGTAATGATGGGTTCTTTTTGTTTTTTGTTTTTGTAAGTTATAAAAACATTTTGTACCATTTCGGGGTGGGATTTTAACGGCGAAATCCATAGCGTAGTCATTTTTATTTTATTTTAAATATAATCCTTAATGAACATTGTGCCACACATTACAAAAAAAAATGTATTTCATGCATTTACTTAATAATATTTGTTAAAAAAAAAAAGCTCTTGATATTGTTGCTGCACCCTCTATTATTCAACCGCAACTCGACTTCAACCACACTATTACTGTTCTCGTATATGCTTATTAATTTGTGTCAAATACGATTTGCTAACACGGGGACGTTATCGAATAATGAAAACATTATGATTCGTATTTCACATCTGAGTCCACAATTTTTTGCTGTATTTCTCTAATTTCCTACTATCATTAGAATATATCTTCAACAACCCTAATTACATAAATCAAAAATCATGTTATTCCCTCGTGTATACCACCAACTCGAACCCCTCTATCTGGTTATCTTAGAGACTGCTCGTAAACTTGGGTCTTTCAAACCGGTTCAGACCTGTTTGTTCATCAGACGTGTCACACAAGCAACCTGGAAGAGGATTTGCATAAAAAATCAACCTCCAACTTTGGACCTGCCTTTCCGGGCCGTCTAAGATACGGAGCTCCTAATGTTTTCCGATGTATTCTCTTAATCTCCAACGAGAAATCTTCCCAGGACATGTGTCCCCGCATCAAGATTGTGTTATGGTTTTTATTTTGCTATTAAAGAGTGTTTTTTGTTTTTTTTTTTGTAGCACTTTATTAAAGCATAGTTGGCTCAGGACTTGTGAGAAAGTCATGCCTCAGTTAAATTTTTTGTAAGTAAGTTTAATCGATTTTATCAACACATTCACAATGATTTACTATGTTTAATCAGTCATTGGAGATTCAAAAGCAAAACTTATACAGTTTAAATGTGTTAATAACACAGTGTTACCAAGATTTGTGGAGCAAAATTGATTACTGTTTGAAGCGACTGTAGTCTAATAATTTCCCATTCTGCCTCCAATTTCAAAGCGAAATCAAGGGTTCAAGATCATATTTAACTAGTTGTTACCTGGAACGAAAACCTACATCAGGAATAACAATAGATTTGAAAATGGTACAAAACCTACATCAGGAATAAAAATATTGGGCCATTATCAATGGTGGTGAGGTTTTGAACTCGTGGGGAGTGTTATTGAATACTAGGTTCAAAAATGTGTCCACGTCACCAGCACACGTGTAGTGGCAGTCTCCAATTTCAAAAAGTTTGTCCACATGGCTTTGATCTACGAAATGCTTGAGTTCGAATTTAATTTGCTTGTAGGCTAACGGTTAATAAGAGGTGTCATACATTTAATGGAAGTTTCTTCGGATTTTGACTGTTAGAGAAGCAAAATATAAAGTGAGACCAATTTATCCAACCGTTAGATGATGACGTGGATAAGCCCACGTGTCATACAACGAAACGTTTAATGCCCTCCCTAGCTCTCTCTCACTTTTTTTTTTTTTTTCACTACTAACTCTTAGATCATTCTCCTTTCTGTGCTTTTGGATCGAAGAAGAGATTGTCCTACTTGATTTTTGGTTTTTGTTTACTGGAGATGTTTCGTGTTTCTCTCATTCGCCTGTGAATTTTGTTCTGATGGCGATCAAGGAGGAGACGAAGGAGAGTTGCAGAAGCAGAGCTGTCGTGCCTTGTGTATCTAAGAAAAACCCAAGGCAGCATCGTATGAAAATTGATGTCTACGGCGAGGTTCTACAGCGAATCCAGGATTCCAATTACGTAGAAGCCAATTTTCCCGATTTCGATTATCAGCTCTAGCTCTATTTCAACCGTCTTCCTATTCGGTAATTTCTTCACTAATTAATGTTTTTCTTTACTAATCTTTGGGTTCCGGAGCAATGAGATAAGGGTTTGCGACTTGTTCGTCTAATTTGGTCATTAAATTTTCTTTCATTACTTTGTCCTAATTTGGTTGTACTAGTGTGATGCTTTTGTTCATGGACATCGGCAATTATCTGTCTCATCTGAATTGGATTTATAAATTTACTGTTTTGAACAACATTAAAACTTCGTACGCTTCTTCTGCCGTTTCTTTAAAACATGTATATTTATAGGTTTGCTAGTTTAGTTTCAACTGTTCACGTTACTTTTCAAATTTTCCATTTTTTCATCTTGGCTATATAACGTTTCACTTAGACATTTTCTAGATGTGTAAATGTAGAGAGAGCAGAAGATGTCCTCACTCATCAGAGATTGCTCAAATTGGCTGAAAATCCTGCAACTAGACATGTTTTTGAAGTTCGTGGTGTACAGGTAACTTAAGCATCTGCCACTTTTTAGCCTTGCTGTGTTTGATATTAAAACTTTTGTTCGAGACTGCATTATCCTTTGCTTGCTTGATTGGTACTTGTATTCGTCTTTCTTACAGGTTTTTCCCACATTAAATGAACATTCTGCTGACGCTGATCCTTCAGATCCGGCGGTGAAGGAAGATGCTCAAGGCTCTTACCACTCGAGCAGGCAAGGATATGTGTAGTTTTGTAAATTTTTACCTGATCTGCATATATTTTTCGGTAACAATTTCTCACTCGTGGCTGTTTTCTTACTTCCTGTTCAAAGGGTTTGCGCACCTCCAACTTTTGGTTCTTCTCCGAATTTTGAGGCTCGCCTACAAACATCATGCTGAAGACGATGATAGTGCGGTCAATGCCGAGTTGCCTAATTCTAGGTGAGAGTTCTTTCCCAAAAGTTATATATCCGTTGTATATGCTCCAGTTTAGTCTGCATTAGTTTTAAAGAGGAGACCTTTGTAGCATGGACTTAAGGTCTCATGTTTTTCAGTTTATCCTGATTTTATTATACAACCACGAGCAGTGATATATTTCCTTGTTGCCTATATTGTAGACCAATGCACGAATTTTTTTTTTTTTTACCTTTTTGGATTCTGGTAATTGGTTGAAAATCGGATTCTTGATGGTAGATCTATTATGAACTGGTATAGCTTATTCTGTTCTTCTTGTTTCCATTTATAGGACATGAAGCCTTTTTGCATGCAGATACGTTACAGCTCAGAGATTCTCAAAAACTCTTGATATCCTCTTTTCACTAAAGCATGGCCTGGTTTGTTCAGCTTTCCTTCTTTTGTTATTACATATATAATCTATATAGATATAGGCTGTACTTACTTGGAATCCTCTTGTGGCCGTTTGATTATAACGTTTTACATTTCATGATCTGACTTTTTATATATATATTATATATCTGGCAGGACATGGTCTGAATATCACAGCATTTTGTTAGAGCTGAGAACCCTGAGAAATTTGCATCTATGCTGATCAACTTTATGGGAAGGGTCAGTCTCTTCGTTTCAACATCTCCTGAGTTCTCTATTCCTTTGACGTGTTAGCATTGAGAAACTTTTTTGCACTTTGAAGAAATCCAAGACTTGTAATGTGTTAGACGTGTAACATAACTTTCTTATACATGGTTTTACTTGCATGCTACCTTGCAGTGTTATCCTGGTGAAGATGATCTTGCGATTGCAACGAGCAGTTCTCACAAAGCAGACGCTGAGAAAGTAAACTGAGATAGAAAAAAAGTTAAGTCTTCTAAGTCTTTTATTTTTTTATTCATTCATATTAATAATCTTCATTATCGATTTACATTAACTGTGAAACTAACCGAACATGGTATCCAACCATTTGAATTCATTTGGTCGTTAGAGATTACTTATGTTCAATTTGTTTTCACAACTAATGTTTTATCAATCGATTTTTATTAGAAAAAATGATAATAATAATAGCAACTGTAATTGAAACATGAATCTAACCCAAACATGGTGTCATTTTTTGTATTGTTTCAGGTTAAATTATTTGTTACAAAATAAAATTGAAGAAGCAAAAGATGCAAGAGAAGAAAAATCAGAAAAGATATGTATTCTATTCTTTCTATGTTTTATTTTTTTGTATTTATCTGCATTAAAATTTTAAATTAGTTTAACATCGATTAGATTTACATTAGATGTAAAACTAACTCGACATGGTATCCAGCCATTTGAATACATTTGGTCGTTAGAGATTATCTATGTTCAATTTGTTTTCACAACTAATGCAAATCTAATCGTTTTTTGTATTGTTTCAGGTTAAATTATTTATTACAAAATAAAATTGAAGAAGCAAAAGATGCAAGAGAAGAAAAATCAGAAAAAGATATGTATTCTATTCTTTCTATGTTTTATTTTTTGTATTTATCTGCATTAAAATTTTAAATTAGTTTAACATCGATTAGATTTACATTAGATGTGAAACTAACTCGACATGGTATCCAGTCATTTGAATACATTTGGTCGTTAGAGATTATCTATGTTCAATTTGTTTTCACAACTAATGCAAATCAATCAGTTTTTTATTAGGAAAGAAAATGATGATAATAATAATAACAGCAAAACTAATTGAAACATGAATCTAACGTATTGTTTTTTAATATTATTTCAGGTTAATTTTTTTTGTTACAAAATAAAATTCAAGGAGCAAAAGATGCCAAAAGAAGAAAAATGAGAAAAAAGATATGTTTTCTATTCTTTCTTTGTTTTATTTTCGTATTTAACTGTATTCAAATTTGAATTAGTTTAAAAACCGATTAGATTTACATTAGATACGAAACTAACCAGACATGGTATCCAGCCATTTGAATACATTTGGTCTTTAGAGATTATCTATGTTTAATTTGTTTCTACAACTAATGCATATTAATCGGGGTTTTATTAATAAAGAAAATGATAATAATAATAATAGCAAAACTAATTAAAATATGAATCTAACGTGTTGTTTTTTATATTGTTTCAGGTTAATTTTTTGTTACAAAAATTCAGGAAGTAAAAGATGCTAAAAAAAAAGAAAAATCCAAAAAGATATTTCTTTTATTTTTTCTTTTATTTTGTTTTCGTATTTTTCTGCATTTAAATTTGAATTGGTTTAACATTAAATGTGAAACTAACCAGACATGATATCTAATCATTTGAATACATTTGATCGTTAGAGATGATGTATGTTCAATTTGTTTTTATAACTAATACACATCAATCAATTTTTTTTAAAAATAATAATAATAATAATAATAACAATACGAAATAAAATTTGAAGAATTTAATGTTACGTTTTTAATTATTTTAGATTAAAATTTTCTCATAAACACATCACGCAAAAAAAACTTACCATCATTCTTTTAAAATTTTGTAATTATATTTATTTTATAGTATTTTATTTGGTTGGTTTTTCTTATTTCAAGTTTTAATTTTTGTTTGTAATTTATTTGTTTTCTCTATGTTTAAATTCAATATGACAATATCTTCTTCTTTTTTATCTTTGTGACAAGTATGAAGTGTTGCTAAAAAACATATTCTCGTGTAATCTCACGATATTAAAAACATCTTTATGTGAGTAGAGAAAGATTTTGAATTCATTTTCACTTACAATAATTTTTAAATCTTTATAGACTATAGTTACACCGCGAAGGGGATTTTATTCCTAGTTAAATATAATAGCACATTTGCCGTATATCTTTTTTTGTTAGCGTCCGGTAATTTTCGTTTGGATGGACAGTAAACCTCGGAATCAATCAGTAAGACGAGCGCGTGTCTTCAATAATCTTCAACAAAAATTAAAATGCAAAATAATAATACACCGTTTTTTAAAAATAAAAAAAAAAGTTTAGGACAAAAAATACATAAAAATTCGATAGTGCTTAAATGAAATGAAACATCTAACCACGTTCGAATACCACATAATATATCCAAAAGGCGTGTGATACAATACTCCACACCTACCGACGACCGTCTCTGTAGCCGTCGTCAACATTGCTGCGCCACCACCATCACCGATTCACCGCTTTCATCAACGTTATTCCCATCACCACCTACACTTCCGCCGCGGTCACCACTACTTCTACCACCACCATGAATAGCACGGTGACAGCAGTAGCAGTGGTGGCGGCAGAAGTGGTTTTGGCTGTGGATGCAAAAAAGTTTTAGTAGCAACTGGTTACATATCTTGTATTTATTCTTGAGGACGACGGTTCGAACCCCTTTTCTCACAATTAGACGAATAACTGTTTTATATTCTCCTTTTAATATACTGTACTTTTTTTTGGCAACATGGGATGCTGCAATTTAGAGCCGATACAATTCATTTATAATCTTCTTGTTAATTATGGAAACCAGTTTTCTAAGGGAAGTTCGATGACAATGTGATAAAGATATTTTGATTTGTTTTACAATTTACATGGTTAAAATTATATATGCTTTAACCGTTTTTTGTTCTTCCTTCCTATTAGTCCCACATTTTAGGGGGCAAATTATAGCCAAAAAATAAATTATATTTTACGAAATGCGGACTAGGCTCAGGTTTTGATTAGGCTCAGGTTTCACTTTCAGCTTAATGTTGCTTATTTCAAATAATGTTTAACCCCAAAAAAATGCGGAAACAAGTATGTACTAAACCGTGAAAGATTCGACACACTACACTACGCCATTCAATTGGATGATGAAAAACAAAAAAAAATCTAACCTGCAGACTTCAGAGAACCAACCATAAGTGCTTCTACGCCTGAGTGAGTTAATGACTTTGGAAAACATGAATCTCTGTTGCATATGAAAGGAGAGTTATGTAATGAACCACAAAAATCAGGGCTGAGCCGCTTTAGCCCACAGCAAAAATCAGGGATGAGCCCCCAAACTTTGTCTTTACCTCGCAGAAACGTGGTCCAACCAGGACGCGTATCTTCCCACCACTCGGGGTTCCAAAGTGTAAACCTAGCAAGCGACAATGCAGCTGAGTGTTTCGTAATCGAAATCCAAGTCAACATAAAAAAAATCAGGAAGCCAGATACTGAAAGACTAAAGAGATCTGTAGACAACATAGAGACCACGTCGATCAAGGAACTAAATCATCAAAGGGCAAATTTTACATCAATTATCAGAATTTCGGTTATTCTGATGCAAGTAATGAATACATGTATTCGTTTAGAGAAGTCAAACCCTAACCCATTCTGCCATTACACCTGTATTTGTTTCCTCGGCAATTTTCTCAATTTGTACTTGTACAAAAGTGAAGAAAGCAGGTTCTTCTCAAACAATAACTTCATCAAGTACTCACTGTTGTTATAGAACAAAAGTTCACTATGTGCCACCGGCACAAACATGACTTGAAACGATATGAATTTATGGGGGTGGAAACCTTATAGACTGAACTACAAACCACAGACAAGTTTGGTCAAGAAGATATTTCTCAAGAAACAAAGAGGGATCAATACCTCAATTCCTCAACAAACTTTAGATAAGCAGTGCGCAAGATTCAACATGGATATTCTTGTAAAGCCGGCTAAATGGAGTCGCCATTGTGTAGAATTGCATGATTCATGTTCCAGCTAAGGCTTCCAGGCACAACAACCTATAGGTTATACAGAGAAGAGACATCTGTCAAGAACACAGAAAAGGAACTTAAGTTAATGAGAAGAATACCATCATCGCCTCACTATTCG